GATAACCTTTTGAGGCACTTTCGGAGCAAAGGTTTATGAATTGGACAATACATATAAATAAGAAGCCAATGGTTATAGAAATGAATTGAAGATTATAAGGCGTAATTACCTACTAATACATACTTGGTCATGGCTGATTTCTGCAACGAAGATGGTGCGCTTTTGTGGATTTAAATGTTAGAATTCATATATGTCATAATGGTGCATTGGTACTAATATTTTGTTTGCAGGAGTTTCAAGATCCATTTCAGAAACTCCCCCAACTCATTACACTCTCAAGATTCAGTCACTATCTCTGCTAAAAAAGAATAATATTGAGAAATACACTTCCCCTTATTTTGAAGCTGGCGGCTATAAATGGTGCAACTTTATCACTAAGTGGAATCTAATTAATATTACTAGTCTCTTAAGTTTTAAATTGTATCAAATAATTGGATGTGCAGGAAGTTGGTGTTTCATCCAACAGGAAACAAAAACAAGAATGCAGAAGGGAAGCACGTTTCTATATATCTGATGATGGCGGAGGCAAGCTCACTTGTCCATGCTGTTTTTCGCCTCTTTTTGCTTGATCAGAACAATGACAATTACTTGGTCCTCCAAGGTCACTGCTCTTACATCTCCTTAGTTTCTTTCTTTTTAAGTCCCTAACAAAGGAGAAAGAATCAAGTCTGTTGTACATTTCTGTTTAATTACAAAAAAAGGAAGAAGATTCCATGCAATGAAGGTGGAATGGGGATTTGATCGATTCATAAGTCAAGAAGATTTCAACAATCAAGCAAATGGATATGTTGTGGATGACATATGTGTCTTAGGAGCAGAGGTTTATGTATGTCAAGAAAAGTTCAAAGGTAGAGGCGATTGTCTGTCCATGGTTAAAGACCCCATTAGCTATAAGCACGTCTGGAAGATCGACAACTTCTCTTCTCTCTCTGCGGATTGTGAAGACTCCAAGACCTTCATGCAAGGAGAACATAAATGGTACTCAACCTGTCTAACTCTATATAACTGTTAGTCCTAGTACCTAGAAATTTAAGGGATTCAAAAAAATGCAAGAATGACATACCTGTGATTCGAAGCTGCAATATAAAACAATTTTTGAATCACTTTTGAAACTACACTAAAAGCTAGCTAGCTTCCCATCTGTCAAGGGGTTCAAAAACTTATACATGCACAAAAGGAGGTCATTGTATTCTATCTGTACAGTATAGTTCAATTACTGACAATGGATGTCATGTGATTGGTATGTATGTATAAATTAAAACAGGAAGATACAGGTATACCCCAAGGGAAAAGGGAGTGGTAAAGACACCCATCTATCACTATACTTGGCATTGGCAGAACCAAGCAGCTTATCTCAGGGTAGTCAAATATATGCAGAATTTACATTGCGTATCCTTCATCAAATCGGCTCAACACATTACTTCGGCAAAGGTAACAGTACTACGGTATTATATATAAACGAAATGATGTCAAATGTTGAAAAGATGGTAGCATTCATATATATCATCATTTTCATGTGTACTACTTTTGGTTGCAGCCAATTATTGGTTCAGTGGATCACATACGTTCTGTGGATGGCCAAGATTTATATCGATTGGGTACTTCAGTTTGCCTGGGGCTGGTTATTTGGTCAAAGACACCTGTGTTATAGAAGCTGAAGTCACTGTGCATGGGGCTACTACTAATAATATAATGCTCTAATTAGTAGTCTGATAATCACACCAATTTAATGTACTGCTACTGTTTAGCATTTGAACCATTTCCGTGTTCTTGTTGTATCTATTACTATTGATTTAAAGAGAGGAAAATGATGCATTAATTCCGTCTTCTTTGTCTTAACTTAAGCTAGTGCATTTCTTAGTGATCAAGGAAGACCCTCAGAAGGAAATCTTGTAATTCATCATCATCATGTAAGCATACCACATCATTTCCCCCAACCTAAATAAAGACAGAGTGTCAGTAGGATATGCACCTTAAAACATTTGTAAGGAACTTGTAATGCAAAAAAAGTAGTAGTACTTACATAATTCACCTACGTCGATCATAAGAATAAATGTGGATTATGGATGTAACCTTTAATGAATATGACCAAGGACAAAGTTATTGACCTATTGAAGAAGTAAATGCAACAGTAGTGTACTCTTTTATGTATTAGTACAAAAAATCTGTTGTAGACATTTAACCTCGTTGCACATTTTGATAGGCTCATAAAATAAAGGATATAACCACACTGTATCTTAAGCATACAACCACCTTTATCATCTTCAGAAAGCAATTGAGGAAGAACTATATATATATATATAT